TGGTGTCAGGCAACAGAGGCAGAACATTTTCACCAGTAAAAAGAAAGGTCTGTTCCCAATTGCCTTAGCTCCACAATTGCCTGATTTGGGCCCTGTTTCAGGTGCTGTAAACCACCAGCTGTCTTCCCACCTCCACAGATCTCCTGAGACCTGATTGTTTTGGTCATGGCTGGTAGATTGTCTGGCAAGAAATCAGACCAGCTGGATTTTTTCATTTCTTAATGTCAGTTCCTTTTTTAGGTCATCAGGCAGGAGTCTCAGTGCTAGCATGTGTGTGTCTCTTTCTCAACTCAGAGGAGAATTGACGTGAGCTCTCCAATGAGTTCAATGAGGGAATGAGATCTGGTGTAAACCACACTGGTAACAGTAGGCATGCTGGGATTAAAAGTAGACCACCATCTCTCCAGTTTTCTGATGGACCCTTCCTAAATTTTGAGCTGCATAAAGGTTCCTGCTGATTTTTTGGGGGTAGAATAAAGGTTAACATTGCTTATTTGAAAAAGCTTCAAATATTTCATGAGGAATACTCAAAGTCCTTATTTATACACAGTTTTTCTGGCCTCTCACATATTTTGGTGCATTTTCTCTCATCCCTTAGGGAAGATTCTTTGTAAGTGGGGAATAATCATTAGCAGCTGAGAAATTTGTAATCTGCAATTCTCATGAAAAGAAGATCTTTAGGTCAGGAGCTATCTTTTTGTTCTCTATTTGTCTAGTGGTTTGCATCTTGAAGATGAGAGCTCTAGGAGTTGTTGCAATGGAAATAATGAATGACTGGGGGGAAAAAAAACAGCAAAAAGGACCTTAATCTTGATCTAATATCAGATTAATCATGTAAAAAATCACCCAGAGTGTGGACACATAAAGACATAAATATGATAAACAAAGAAGTGTGAAAACTCACCTGTTTGGAGCACATGAGATAAATGAACTCTGTTCTTCAAAATGAGAAGTGAGCTCATTCCCTTTCTATTGCATTCACTGCTGGCTCCATCAGAACTTTGCACCTGGAGTCTATAACTGGCAGCTTTTGGTCTCGTGATGATGATGGCTGAATCAAACAGCCTGTTTAGTATAATCTCAAATCAGCACATAACACATTTGGGTTTTTTTTTAACTGGGGATTATAGGGGGTTACACTTAATTGCTTTGTTTGTTAAGTATATTTTGATGACTTTGCTTTGAAAAAAAAGGAAAACTAATTTACATGTCATTGATTGCTGAATAACTCCAACTTCCAGATAAAATATTTCTACTTAATTGAAATTTGAAGTAATATGGAATAATCTGGGGGAGGGTGTAGTTTGTAAAGATTTAGAACTAGGAGGTTTTAGAAGTAAAACTGCCAGATTCCCTCTCATAATAAAAGGGAGAGCATAAGCATTTTAAAAGTTAGCATTTTCCCATGGCTAGTCTTGTGGCCAATCTTGATTTCTTACAGCAGCAACTGTTTTTCTTGCCATGTGTCCTAAATAATAAAAGACTTTATGAAGTCAATAGTGTGCTTTGAGACATACCTTAGCTGAGCAGTGCAGAGACGGTCACCACTGTAGGGTAAGAGAATCAGAATTGCCTTTTGACTTAAGAAAAAGCTGTGGAGAAGGGCTGAAAAGGGCAGAAGCCAGCAGTGGGAGTTTGAAGAGCGCTGTGGTTAGTTACCTCACGGATGAGTTTGTCCTGTGGGTTGTGTTTTATTGTGTGATGGGTTTTTCCACCATTGCATATTTTTATACTTGTACTTTCTGAATAGGTGACGAAGGAAAAATGGATTAGGGGTTGAAGGGGATTTTTTCTTCTTTTTCTTCTGGTCTCATTGTTAGAGATCTGCACCAGAAATACAGACTAAATGCAATGCAGGTGAAAAGTAGTGGTCTTTGAGCTCTGCCAGTGAACCGGAAGGCTGCACAGCCTGAGTGAGAGGCAAAGTACTTTCATTCTTATTGCATGGTGTGCTGTTTTTGTTGAGCTCAGTGGTTTAATTCTTTATAAATATTTTCTTTGTACTTTCAGAGAGATTTTTTTCCTTCTTTTTGATAGGCCAAGCTTTAATAAAGATGGCATGATGTGAAGATCTGAAAGATTTGGGAACTTGTTCCTTCACTATTTTGTTATTTCACTGTCATTTAGTTCATCAATCCATTTTTAACATTTGATAAGAAAATATTTTTAAATTACCAATTGATAGACATTGCAAATGGCCCAGTTGGGGATGAACCTGCCAGACAATGATATGTCCATATGGGAAGAAAAAAAATCAATATTTGAGAATGTGGGCACAAGGTGGAACTAATTGTTCTGTGCAGTTATACCAACAAGGAACATGTTGGGGTTTTTAAATCAAGACTATGGTCACATTCTGCCTGCACAGACTTCTTGCATTAAAAAAAGACTGGTTTAGGACATTTTTTTCATTTGATTCAAGATACTGGTCTAGTTATCCAAAATTTCCTTGGATAAGAAACCAATGGAACTGAAGTGTCTTTATTACTAAATCACCTTCCAACATACTTGCAACAACTGGGACTTGGATACATGAGGATTTAGTCTCTAAAATGTACCACCTTAAATGCAGGGGACAAGAAGGTCTTTGAGACCAGCTCTGTATTTGCAATGCTCTGGTTTGGCATAATAGAATAATCCCAGAAGCACTGTTGAGCTGAATAGATTTAATCCTGCTGTTCCCTCCAGTGAAAAATGGAACGTGAAATAAAGCCACTTTCCCCATCCTGCCTATATGTGTCATTTCTCTCAGTGACAGGGAAGTTACTTACAGAAAGTTTGTTTTGATTGCATTGATAGGCAGAAACAAAATGAATCTAGTTATCAGGTATTAGTAGGGCAAAGTGTTGTGGCCCAGTTCTACTGCCAGCTCCTTCCTGGGCACTGGAGCTCAGTGCGAGCTGCTTCTGCTTGAGCAGCACTGTGGGCCACAGTTGAAGAATCACCCTTTCTTCTTTGTTTTTCCCCTGGTTGTGGAGAGGCATTTACTTTGCATTTGACTCAGACCACAAGCAGCTTTATTTTCACTTGTGACAGCTGTTCAGTGAGAGTGAAGCAGCCAGCTCCTCCTCTGTGTTTGCAGTCCAGAACAGATACGGTGTCTGCTGGTGTCTCTGCTAGTGCTCTGAAAAGGTCACTTTCACAGGAGACAGTGGAACAGGCATCTCATACAGTCCTTGGCCTGTCTGCTTTGAAGATTAGTTTCATTCTATTTTGTGTGTGTGGGAGGAAGGAGGGAGTGTTTACAGGAATTGAAATCACCCATTTTACTAGATCTGGACCTGATACAGAAAGCAGGGAGTTGCTCAGACATCTTCTTCCAGCCTTCTAACATTCACCTTCACCTCCCCATGCCAGGATCCCATCTCTGTGCTTTGGGAGTAAACTCCCTTACTGCATGCATATACTGAGATGTCACCTTTCTCTCATCTATATGTCAGGTCTGTTTTCTTACTTTCCCTAATCCCTGCACTCCCTGTATCACCTGTGTCCTGAACAGAAGCCATGATGCCAGCAGTGACTGGGGTAAAAACTGGCTTTAAGCCCACTGGAGACACTGGAACTGCTGCCCATCAGCTGACTGCACATTGTAGGTGCTGTGGAAGCATCTACCCCACAGCATGGGTAAGCACTCCATACCACTCTGCCGTGGTTCAGCTTGGAGAGTTTGGGGACCTCTGAGCAGAGAGCACAGTCTTGTAAGCCTGTTTTCTTCTTGGGCCAGTGTTGGTGTGATACTCCCATCTCTAAGCATGAAAACATCAGGGTTTGGAAGCACAAGGCAATGCCGTGCTGGAGAAAAAAAAACATTCTCTCTGAACAGTGTTATTTATCCACTTCCTTTGTCCAGTTCATTAATGTCTAAATAGTGGTTGAAATAACAGAAAAGATAAGTCCAAGGTTTTTTTAAGGCCATGTTTCAACACAAATCTGTTTTCTTAACATATCCTCTTTCCTTCCTCTGAGACATTTACTATCTTTTTGCGTTTAGGGCAAGAAGAAGGAATGCAGCACATGTTGTCACTGCCCTTGAACTTCTTTGCAAAGCTGGCGCTGCTTCCTCCTGTTTGCTTCACTTCTTGTTGTACCTCTATATCTGCCTAATGCATCAGTTTGCAGGAGGATCCCTTATAAAATGAAAATCTTTCCAGTGAGGCATTCCCTTTCACCTTGCAAAAAGTCTTTGCTGTAAATTTGCTCCAGGTTTGCTAACTGCTTAGCACCAAAGTCATAAATTTTAATAACTTTACAGAAGAGAATTTGCCCCCTTCGGATAGGGGCTGACACTGTTTGGTACAATGTGCTTTCTCCTGTATAAGAAAATAACATAAATTACAGCAATTAGCTTGTCCTGCCACAAGCCTTACACACTTCTGTTCACTTAGGGACAGGTTTTAGGCCTGAAGGAATGCAGAATTAGGAATTGCTGAGGAGTGATATCTGCACAGTGTAATAGCAGCAGGTTCCACACATTTAACCATTTGAGTGCCTGGCTCAGGATTGCAACAGCAATGTGTTACTCCTTCTGTTACATAATAGCAGATAAATGATTTGAAGGAAGTTTGGTGTGAATTTTGTGGTTGTTTCATGCCAACACTAGCTACTTCTGGAATGTATGAGCCCTTTGTAGTGAGGAGCCCACCAGCAGGGGTACGTGAATTGCTTCTTGGTGGTGTGGAGTGGTGGCTGCCAGCTCTAAACAGGGGTACAGTTACATCAGCAACATCTCCTTAATTCTTGGCACTTATCATTGATGTCAGAGGCTGAGATAGAGAACTCACACTACAGTTGTATAAAAACATCAGAAAGGTAGGAAATTAATGCAACAGTGCCATCTCTTCAGTGCTATTTGTAATTACCTAGCTTAGGGAATAATCTGAGATGTCTGATGAAGTTTTAATGCTGAACCCTTCTCTGTGCCACAGTCCTGATGCAGTTTCTATCATGTTTATCTTCAGGATCTTCTGTGAGTGGGAAGAGGGATTCTGCTTATGTGACAGCAGCCCTTGGCAACACGTGGAGTCACAGCGTCAACACCAGGCTCATACTACAATACCATGACTTGCCAACAAGACAGGTGAGAACTTAACAGCAAAGAGAATTTAAATAAAGCTACACTAGCAGTGCTTTGTCAGATGGGGTGTGTCCTTCAGCCTCTCTGGTTATGCTACAGGTGTTGAGAACTTGGTAGCTGAGAGCCCAGTTGTTTATTTGGGGTGGAGGTGGTCAGTGTCCTTTGTTTTTAAGGGATGGCCAGCACTCCAGTGCCTCCATGTATTAGGATGGGCCTTTCTGAGTCACAGTTGGTACAGGTGTACAAGTTTCTTGAGCCTTTAGTGCATTCTACATCATGGAGATGAAAGGTAATCCTTGAAGTACTTTCTTGCACAGGAATTTGAGGACAGGAGAAACTTAGTCTTTTCACTGCCACGATTGTTTTGCTGTCATGCTGCCCACTCTTTGTGCCCAATTTCAGCTGTGACTGTTAGGACAGGGAGCACTCTGCTTTCTGTGACTGCTGTTTGTGAGTAGAAGCTTGCTGCCTGCAGCATCAAGCTTAACTTTGAGCAGTAGGTATCGTACCAATTTCCCAGAAGTATGCCTGCAAGTAGGAGAATAGTCACCCTTTTCACTGAGATTTTATGCTTTTAAGTGAAACATAGTAGCATCTTTTATTGCAATCTTCACCTCTTAATTTAAAAAATGGAAAAACTGGGAGGCAAGACATTTGGGGTATGATTGAGGGAACTATTTTTTTTTGTTTTTAAAAACATAATAATGCATGATTTCATCTGTCCCTTGGGATATCTGTGGTTATAATCTCTTTTGGCTTTGTCTGTTCTGTTTTTGCATTGATGTAACTCTTTCCAAAGGCTGTGACCCTAAGTCTTAATGTTATTGATTTCCTGCCAGTTAAAATAGACGGCTGTCAGAAAAATTGCTACGTGATATTTGTACCATCTTACTCCTATACCATTACTACACATATGTGTCCAGGTTGGTGCTCCTGGGTTTACTGTCACAACACAAAGTTTCTCACTGTTAAATTGCAGTCTTTAGAACCAGAGGAGAGGAAGCCATCTGGTTTTTTTAGAGAATTATTTATTAGAAGTAAAATTTTAATGATAGCACTCCTGTTTCTTCAGTAGTTGTGGACTACTTTGAAGCAGTAGTCCTCTGGAAGTAGAAGGTTAAGTGTGTCAAATGCAGGTAGAAAAGGCACCTTCTGTACTCACTTCTAAAGGCTATGCATAGAAATATAGTCTTACTGATGCTGGTCTTAGACATTTTCTTATGTACTGCTTCATATTCTGGTCTGTAATGAGTTCTCTTTTTTTATAGAAATACTAAGTTTGCAAAATACAAAGCTGTTCATAAATTTCCTGGATCGCTTCAGAGTTACATGAGAGGTGGAGCTGGCAGAGGGTAAAGGGCAGAAACTGGGCTCTGTGCTACTTCATGATGCACAAAGTCAGCAAAAACAGATTAAGAAGATTGCTCTGGTAGTGGAAAAAAGGAGACAGCTTTCCTAAGGAAAATTCAGATATTACATGTAGTTTTTCCTGATTTTTTTTTCTGAGAAAGAATAGATCACAAACGTATGAAAAGTTGTGTTCAAGCCTTTGAAATTTTGGTCTGCTTAATAGATTTTTCCTCTCTTCCTTATTGGATTTATCAGGTGCACCACTTTGCTTACAAGTGAAGCTATGTGCTCATTCTGTTTTAATTAAGCAAAGGAACTAAAGCTACAGTGAAAAAAAAACCAACCCTAAAGTAAATGTTAGTACATATTATTAAAACCAAAGTAATTTGAAACAGAAGTGTGATATAAATAGTGATGTGCCTGTGAAGTCCATGACTGAAATGGGATATGTCCATGATGTCCTGTAGGTATTTTCCTGTTGCTGAGATTTGTGTCCTTTTTCAGATAAATTCTTGTTTCTTAAACTCATAGAAATGTTTCAGCTAGACATGCCATTTCCAGTTAGAGGAAGGCATCTGGAGTTACCCTACCTATCACAGCACTGTATTGATCAAATTACTATCATTTTACACACATATGCTCCTTTATATTTGCTTCAGACCCACTTTCAGAAATGAGCTGTGAATAAAGGTGCCTCAGTTCTTGAGATGCCATTTCAGTCATCGTAAAGTGGTTTTGCCAGGAGGTATTAGATATCAGTGCTTTGAAAGCCAGCACTTTTTAAAGAAGCTTAACAGGAAGATTCAAAAATTACCAAGTCAGTAATCACATTTACAATTGTCATACTAAAAGAAAAAAAAACCACAAAAAACCCAACAACCAAACAACAAAAAAAAAAAAAAAAACCAAAAAAAACCCAAAAACCCAACCCAACCAAAAACTTGTGATTATCTGTAGTCTTGGTTTTAAAGTGAAATTTTGCCCCAGGGAATTACTGAAAGCACACAGTTGGTCTGGAGATTAGGGTGAAAACCTAATGATTAGTTTCAAAACCAAGTTTTTCCTGCCTTTCTACATTTGTAACCTTACAGAATCAATACTGTATAAGGAATGAGCTTGCCATAGAAAGATAGAAACCATAGAATCATAGAAACTTCACATAGTTGGTGATTACCCATCTCTAATTTGTCAAGGTCTCCCTGCAGAGCCTCCATGCCTCTGAGGGAGTCAACAGCTCCTCACAATGTAGTGCCATTGGCAAACTTACGTAGTATTCCTTTGAATCCTGCATCCCGGTCATTAATGAAGATGCTGAAGAACACAGGGCTGAGGATAGAGCCCTGCAGAGCCCCACTAGTGACAGGTCCCCACTCTGATGTCACTCTGCTCACTACAGCTCTGTGTGCCTGACCTGTGAGCCAGTTGCTCACCCAGTGCATGATGTATTTATCCATCTGTGGCCTGGACAATTTGTCCAAAAGGATACTGAAAGCCTTGCAGAAATCCAAGAAGATTACATCTGCTGGCTTTCCTAGTTCTTTTAGGTGGGTTGCCCTGTTGTAGAAGGAAATCAGGTTCAACAAGCAGGACTTTCCCCTTATGGAGCCATGCTGGCTGTGATCAACAACTGCATTGTCTTCCAGGTGTTTTTCAGCACTTCCCAGAATAATCTTGTCCATGATTTTACCAGGCACTGAATTGAGACTGCCAGGCCTGTAGTTTCTGAGGTCCTCCTTCTTGGCCTTCTTGAAAATCAAGATAATGTTGTCCAGCTTCCTGTCAGATGGGACCTCTCAGGATTCCCAAGACTGCTGAAAATCATTGAGACAGGCTTTGTGATGATATCAGCTAGCTCCTCACATGAGTCCCATCAGGCCCCATAGATGGGACAATTCACAACTGATGAATTGTGAATTCATCACAATTTCAGGGTCAGCTGGGAATTGATCATTCTTGCAGTCATGGTCCTCTAGCTCAGGACTAGAGGGTCCCATGGCCCATCATCTATATTGAAGATGGACGCAAAGAATGCATTTAAACACCTCTGCCTTGTCCACATCCTTGTTTGTAAGGTTGACAATCTGCATCCTGTAATGGGATGATGTTATTTCTATGCTGCCTTTTGCTATTAACATATTTGAAAAAAACTCTTTGTATTGTCCACCACAGTTCTGGTCTGCTTTATCTCCAATTGAGCTTTGACCACACAAATTTTCCCCTACCATGGCCAATAGCATTTCTGTATTCTGCCCGTGTCACCTGGACTTGCTTCCACCAGACATACATGTCCCTTTTCCTTCCACAGTGGATACAATTTGTTTTTTCAAAAGGTAAAATTAATTCTTTAGTCAGTCACTTGATCTCCAGAATATTCTCTTTCTGGATCTACTTTCTCTCTTTCTTTCTGTGGAGGAGCTGGAGTGGTGGCAACAGTTTGAGAGACTTTCCCTCATTATATCTGACTTCCAAGGTCAGACCCAACGTGCCAATCCTCGCTGCAGAATGCCACCCATCAAGAGGAGAAGCACTGGGCCAAGGGTGATATCATTCAAAACACGGAGTAGTGATACTGTGATGGTTCAGGAAGATTCGAGCAAGCTGTTTCCCAGAGCTATGGTATCTCCTGGACAGCCCAGTGGGCTGCTAGATGCTTGTTCTTAGTCATGCAGTATTTGTTTCTGGGAAAACTCATGGACATAGTCCCTATTCCTGAAACCTTGGGGAATGCCAGGGCAGCAGGTGGCAGAGCAAGTATGTAATAAACCTTAAGAAACTGAACATAGAATTCCTACACGTTTGGGATTTTTTTTATATATTAAGTAAAACATTTATTTTGTTTGTCCAGGAGATATTTTCCAGCCAACTATCCCTTTTTCCTCCCCACCCTTCCTATGTCTGGTGAACATTAATAAGACAGCAGCCAGTTCAGCAAAGTAATGAAATTTCTGGGATGTCCTGCCTGCCTGAAAATCAGTTAGGTTTGCTTTATGGCTAGGAGAGGAACAGCTTTCTGAACAAACAGATGAACTTTGCTCTTTTGTTTCCTTCTAGAAGCCAGGGTTCTGGTTTTTGTTTCCTCCAGGACAGAAGCAGCACCACTGGGGGAGGGCCAAATGAGATTTCTAGTCTGCATTTAAATTCATTTATGTCACTGAAACCCACAAGCATGGACAACAGCAGGCAGGAGTCTTTTAGCTACTGAGACTGAGCTGTATAGTTTCAACAGCAGCACAGTGGCATAAGAACATGTGAGAACATGGGAAAAGTTAATTGTTTCACACAAATACCTTCATGAAGGGAATTATCTTTTTGGATACTGATACTTCATTCTCCCTAAGCACTCTTTTAAGTAGCTAACCATGACATTTTCCTGAAATGCATACATAAACATGCGGACTCTTTGAGTTTGGGCCAAAACCAACGGGCCTGCACTAGAAACTGTCAGACTCCTCAGTTACCCCTATGTATATAATTATCCTTCTTTCCTGAACTGGAGTCAGCAGGCTTTAAGGTTACTGCTGTTTTTCATGTGTTCTCAGCTGTCTTTGGTGGGGTTAAATACATTGCCATGCTATATTTAACGTTTTGTTCTTGTCCAGGAGGCAGGATCCTGGATTACATGAGACAGTGCCCAGATCTGATATGGCAGCTTC